TCAATAAAAATTTTGAAATATTTTGATATTAATTTAATTTATATTTAAAACTTAATACTTAATTTTTACTTAAAACTTAATACACCAAGCTTGGGCTCTTTATTTTATATAAAGACTCCTGTTGCCATGGCACAGCCTAGACATGTCTAAATGCGAGCCTGTAACAAAGTATAAATTTGGGAATCCTTTTGTATAGGTAGAGTTTAAAATATTCTATTAAACTCCCAGTTTTCGCGTCTATTAAACACCCAATTTTCATGACTATTAATCGCCCAGTTTTCAATAGACATTTCAATTAATATGTAAATGTATTCAATTTAGTAACATACTCATGATTTTATATATATAATATTTATTTTTCTTAAATAATCATTGATCGCTGATCAATGGATCAATGATTATTAATAACTAGTGAAACATTGAAAGTTACAATGTCAAAATAGAACCTTCGTTTTGTTATGTTCGTGTAAAGTTACGTCACGTTACGTAGGAGATCTCTTTAACTCTTGCGCTGAAATTATTAAAGTAACATTGTACCAAATGTTTAATAATGGGTTTGTACAAGAGATCAAATAATCTCGTACTTCAAACAAAAGTTAAATATAGCGTGACGTCTTTATGGATGATCTCTAAACGTGTTCTACTTATTACTATTAACAATTTAAGCTAAAAGTTTAAGATTTTTAGTTGAGGAAAATTGAAAGAAAGAACATCAAAGATGTTTGAAGAGAGTGCTTATTTTCTTTCTAAATTTCTTTATTCATATTTAAATAATCTACTTTGCTGAAACTCTTGCTAAAAACAAGTAACTATAGTTTTATAGCATATATAGACCAAAATTTTATAAAAAATTATTGTTTTAAACAATAATTAAACAATGATCGTTTATTAAATTTTAATTACATCTTTTAGGGAGGTGGTGAGTACTTAAAAAAGCGTATAGCAAAATGGAGGGGTGGACGATCAAAATAAAAGCGTGCATACTTTATGGACAACTAATTATTTTGTTGGAGTATTACTTTTTTATACACAAATTATTAAACAAAAAATATCCTTTAATAACAAAAGCCTTGAACGCAACTCAGAAGAGGAGTAGTTCAAGACAACGTAAAAAATTCAAAAAAACACAAACTCATCAACCTAGTTAAATACATTAGTTTGTTGAAAATACTTACTCGCGTAAACGTCAGGATTTTTCACGAAAACACTTAAGCAGCCTTTCTACAATTGTTTTTATAATTTTATAGTTTTTCTAATTTTTTTTATTTTTTTATTTTTTGTTCTCAAAGAATCTACAAAGAAAATTATTCTCCGAAAGAATTATTTTTGTTATTATTATTTTTAATTCAAATCGAAATTTTCAGTGGTATGAATAAAAATTTCATGACAAACATAATTTTCAAAAAAATTTTGTGGAATATTCCCTGTGATCAGGAATGAAGGGGCAATCTTCATATGTCGCATTAGGACGTATTGCACACCTTAAAACAAAAATTGAATTAAGTTCAATACAATTACAAAAGGAAATGTGAAAGATATATAGATGAAGAAAATTTAAAATTTGCCGTAAAACATAGTTTTGATTAACACCTGTAATACTTTTACTTTCATTAACAATGAAAGTAAAAGTATTACAGGTGTATTTGGGTTCTTTGATAGCACGTAGGGCTGCAGAATAAAATTGCGTAGAAATAATAGGCATTAACTTTTCCACCAAATAATCTGTAAATCAACTATTTATTAATGCAGAAAAAGCTATGTTAGAAAATTTTATGTAAAAATCATTAAAAACAAACTATAGTTTAACATTATTGTTTCTTACCCGGGTATTACTTTACCTGCTATCCGGGTTATTAGCAAGTTTTTCTTTACCGGTTCCCCGGTTGATTTTTTAAAATAATTCGGGTAAATTTCGGAAATTTTAGGCTTCGCAATTTTTTTAAAAACTATTTTTTGAAATGAAACATTTTTGCTGAGATCAACATTAATTAGTTAACTGACTTGAATGGTATAAAAATATATTTAAAGTGCAGAAATAGTATTAAGTCCACCTTTATGATATCTATTGAGATTTCCTGTAAATAAACCAATTATGTGATTTTCAGCGTGTTGATAAATTGTTATGCATTCAAAGTTCAAAGTGTTTTGGCTTATATAATAGATAAACTAAAATACTTTGTTACATGAATCTGAACTTGCATGGTTTAAATAGTTTCCAATCACATGGAATGATTCGTGTCCGTGGAAACATAAAAACTAAGAAAAAATTCGACTTACTACGTTAAGATTGTTTAGATTCAAGTTGAATTTGGAAAACTATGTAGTTGAAACAATCACTGATGATGCGAGTTTAATGATGAAATTTGTAAAAGACACTAGTCCCATTCACATTGCTTGACTTGCACATGCAAACCATTTTTTTGTTTGTGATATTCTTTGTAAACCTCATGAACGATAATGTAATTGATAATGTAACTGAAGAGAAAGATGATTATAATGAAACGAGAACAAATATAATGAATCTAACTGCAAGTCGAACCTGGTTCGTCATTGGTGCAATTGTTGATAAGATTCGTAAAATTGACAACGATGACAACTTTCAGCTTCAAATTATTTAGTCCTTTGGTAAAGGGGAAAAAAAATTTTTGAATGCAAAACGCGATGCAACAGTCTTACTCAAAATTTTATGAAGTTCGCAAAGAAGTTAAGGTACGACTTAAAGTAGCAATGATCTTGATCTTGAGCAAGAATTTCACTTAATATATTATTTAAATAATCTGAACTTTTTTTTTCACTTAATACATTATTTAAATAATCTGAACTTTTTTTTTTCACTTAATACATTATTTAAATAATCTGAACTTTTTTTTTTGGCAGAGAAAAAGGATCAATTTTAAATAAAAAAAAAAATGTAAAACTTTATCTCTGAGTATTTTACTTTTAATAAGTTTTTTCACAGAAAGTAAGTGAAGAGCTACGAATTGATTTTGACGCTGAGGTTGCACTTGAGCAGATCTTAAATTAAATATTGAAAAAAGAAAATCTCTTTCAAAAGAATTTGTTTATTTATTCAAGCAACAGAGCATGAAACTAAATGAAATTAAATTAAAAATTTTGAAAAAATGAAATGCGTTTATCGTTTACAATTAAAATAACATCAATTGAGAACAAACTTTTTCAGCCATGGCATTACTTAGATAACTAATAGATAGTTAGCAAGCCTATTGTTTTTAATTTCTTTATATTTTTAAGTCATTTCTTCCAATCAACTTAAGAAATATAAATTGAAGATAAAAGCTATAAAGCATTTTTATTTTATTGTGTTAAGAACATTTTTTTTTCTAATTTAATATTAATAAAAACTACATCCCTCATCTAGGTTGCTAGAATTGAGGAAAAATAGTTGAGAAAATTGTGCAGGTAATACCTGGATTTATGCAGGTAATACCTGGATTAATTTAAAATTACCCGTTACTTCGGCAATTTTTTTCTGTCAAGTAATGGAAACACTAGCTTAGATATTACCAAGATTTCAGCATATAAATAGAGTAATGCTTCAAAAAAATACCCTGACTGTGGAGCCAAAATAGAACTGAAGGCATTGGCTAGATGAACTTTGGGCATTGGCTAGATAAAAATTTATACGTTAAAACACTAAAACGATTTCTTTGCACAAACCGAAAAATACGAGCCTACAAGGGCAGCAAGTTTTAACCGCCAAAGTGAAGGTGAACTTTAAATCATTTTAGAGAAAACCAGAAAGTTTTTTAGAAAAAATTTTATCATTATATGTTTTTTTTATTGATAAAAATTTTTTTCTCAAAAAAAAGTTGTAAAGCTTGACATCTAAAGAGCTCTAGGATCTTATCATTGTGGTTGCGTTTATAGAATGAGTGATAGTTTTAAAATTCAAGTCAACACTTATCATTTTAAAACGTGGATTTTAAAATTTAAATATTAGTAATTGTTCTGTAGTAAAAACTATTGAAGCAAACACAACTTATTGTTAGCATTAAATGCTAACAATGAGTTGTAAAACGTTTGTATGTTCCCTAATTGTATGTTTGAAATTTGATTTGTAACATTTGTATGTTCCCTATTCTGCAAACAAATTTTGTTTGCAGAATTGAACAAAAAAAATCGTTAATTTCTTGAAGAAAAAAGTAGGATTTAATATTTTTAATTACCTGAAATAAAAAATATTTTTTTGACGCCAATTGCAGATGACTTTGTTCAATTTCCTTGTCCAAACAATGCAGGAAACACGTCAAGATGTTTTGGGGTAACATTCAAATTTAATTTTTTCATGTTCAAATCCGGTTGAATGTGACTATACTTTTTAAAACTATATTTTTTTAATTGGATTACAAATAAATTTTTAATGAAATGAAAAAATTTAATTTTGAGAAACATATCTTCCCTTTTTATTCAATTTTCTAAACTGCCCCAATATCAATTAGAAACAATGCTATGGGGTAGTTAGGGACAATGAGTAACTTCTTTTTTAAGAGGAAAAAAACAGCTACAATCTATTTGAACTAGCTCTGCTTTTTTTATATAACTAATAGCTAAATTACCTTTTTCATCAAAATTTAACTTTTTGTCAAACATTTCAAAAGCTGTGGTATTTTTTTGAGAAGTGTCATAATATGCCCTTCCCCTTCTTTCCCCAATTTATTACCTTTCTTTATTTTTATCTGCCTATGCATATTTTCTATTTGGATATCACAGATACACTTTTTCAAAAACACAGATACTATAGAGTTGAAAATAATGCAACAACTTAAAAGTGACACAGAGTGCATAGTAAAAATCACACAGCATATTGGGTAAACACTACACCGGATGTGGAGTGAACGTTACACATAATGTTGGGGTAAAATTACACAAGATGTCGGGTAAAAGTTGCACATGATGTTGGGTAAAATTTATATGGGGTCTATAACTAAAAAAACACACATGATTTTGGATAACAAGTTAACAAATAAAGCAGTAATGAAAGTTTAAATAATGGCTTTGTGTTTTTAATGGAACAAGTGTTTGTTCCATTGAGAATAATATCTATTTAACTAAATAAATAGTAAACACACTCATTTATTAGTTAAAAGGAAAAGATTTAATAAATTATATATAAAGGGTACAAAAGTTAACTTTTATGACTTATTAAATCTTTTTAACTGGCGCCCAGTGTCTAAGCCTAAAGGTCAACAATCATAAAACGCGTTTTCATGTGGCTTTTTTTTTGCGTAATAGTACTGTGGAAACTTGTTTTCAAAATATCGGAGGTATTCAATTTCGCTTCTTGAGATTTTGTTACAAAAACATTTTGGTTGATGCAGAAAAACTAAAGGAGGTTCCTCTCCTATTTCGTAAAGAAACGCCGTAATTTCGTTTTGCTTTTTAACTGATCTCTTATTTGATTGATATTCAATAGATTGATCATCTGATTGCTCTTCAACTAATTGGTCATCTGTTTGATTTTCAATTATTTGGCCATCTGATTGTTTTTTTATTGAATTCTCGTCTGATTGTGTCTTATTTAACTGTTCATATAATTGTTTTTTAACTATCTGGTCTTCAGATTTCTGGTCTTCTGATTTGACTATTTGACAAAATTCAGTCACTAATTTATTTAGTTTTTTGTAATTTAAAAGTTTTTTAGAAAATATTTTATCATTATATGTCTTTTTTATTGATAAAAATTTTTTCAAAAAAAAATCGTAAAGCTTGACATCCAAAGAGTTCCATGATCTTATCAATGTGGTTGCGTTTATAGAAGGAGTTGTAGTTTTATAATTCAAATCAACGCTTATCATTTTCTTTGTATAAACAATATCCATGTAGCTCCAGCATAGCATATCTTTTAACATAATTGCTGCCTCATCAAAGTACTCTGATATCATTACAAAATCAAGAGACTTATTCAGATAATTCAAAAAATCCGTAAACGTGTTGTTATATAACCTCTTGGAAAATCTTGGAAAGTTTAAATCAAATGATTGGCTATTTTGTAATAGAAAATGTAAAGACCCAATTTTTCGAAAGTAACGATAATATTTTCTTGGATTTTTAATATATTGTTCAACTGGATCACGATACTGTTGCAATTCGAATGATTTTGTAAAATTGCCGTAATAAAATGCTGAATAAAACTGTAAAACCGGTTCACGTAATATTGTAACCGTTTTAAAAGGAGTTATCATTACTTTAAAGAACTCGTTCCTGTCGTAAACAGCATGATTACATAATATATTTGCAGACTTTAATCTCAGCCTTAAGAAGTCAACAGAATTTTTACTAAAAGAATAGGGCCAACGAAACATGTTGTTATATAACGGTATTGCTATTGATAAGTTATTGATGTCTGCAAATCTGTTAAATATACTTGTAACGGTACTACTTGCGGTTTTATGAGTTTTTAGAAATAGAATATTTTTCTTTTTTTCGTTACAGTTCTCGTCATGGAAGCTATGAAAGTAAAAAAAAAAAAGCATATATACATATATGAGATTAAAGCGTGTGAATGTTTAAGAAACAGTTTTTAATAGATAGGTATATCAAACATAATTTTACAAAATTAAATCATGAAGACAAAAGAGTAAAGAAATTAATCCATACAGTAGTAATAAAATTTTTATTTCAATACGATTTTATTTCATTACAAAAAAAAAGAAAGAATTAGCTCTGTAAAGCATAAATATTAATGAGCTATATGCTTTTTATATAAAAACTGCTTTTTATAAAATATTCAAATTAACCCTTATTTGTGATCTATTCTAGAGTTATTAATTCTAACAACACAATATTTAAATAATTATTTTTAAATCTGTAAAAACACTTTGAAAAAAAAAGTTAACACTTTTTGTTATTTACTTTCATAGTTTGGTTATGAATAGAATTGAACTTACCTTGGTGGATCTTGAAACGGGTATTCATCTGGTTTTTCAACACGCCCCTTAATAATGATTTCATCTCGTAAACGAACATCTCTCATTTCAATCCAGTTTTTTATTGATAAAATAACTTGAGTGACAATAAGCGCAGTAACTTAAATAAAACAAAATATTCAAAAAAAAAGCAAATTTATAAATAAACATTTTTACATAGAAAGAGATTTACATTTATAAATCAGGCTTATTCATGATACGTGTATAATTCAGGCTAACGTAAAAACACTAGCCTAGCGAGATTTGGGTTTAAAAAAGCGATTTTTTTTATTATTATTATTTTTTTATTGTTACGCATTTCGCCATAAAGAAAATCTTTACAAAATTAGACTTAAATAAAATTTATATACACGACTGGGGCAAGAAGAAGACAAATTCAATCTTATCTCCAAGCCCCTTCAAAACAAGAATATAAGTAACAAAGAAAATATTACCGTTATCACAATGTAGTATATATGCATAAAGTACATATATAAATGCATGCATAATAATAATTTTTATAAATGCAAGTATAATTGAATAATAATTAAAAAGTATTTAATTATTATCAAACAGAATAAACTGATTTAATGTGGTCCTAATATTAGTTGCAGCCGAGATTCGATATTAGTTGCAACCGAGATTCAATATTAGTTGCAGCCGAAATTCAATATTAGTTGCAGCCGAGATTCAAAAAGAGTTGCAGCCGAGATTTAAAAAGTTGCAGCCGAGATTCAAAAAGACTTCAAAAAGGAGTGCAACACTATTTCAAATATTGTCTCTTCAGTCCACAATTAGTACTTTGATATGTGATGGATAAGAGAATAAAGTTTACTTTAGTCACAAAACTATTCGGTTTAGTTAAGGACGGTTTTAAAAAAAAATTTTCAAAAAGGGTTATCATTTTTAAATCTCTGCGTTTATTTTCATGATATTTTTATACAAAAAAATGTTGTCGTTTGAAAAAACATGAATAGTAATAAAATAGACGACCGAAAAAAAAGTTTTCTACAATTTATCATAAAAACCTTTTAAAACATTATGAAAAAGTTCTTTACTTATTTCTTTATTATTTCATTTCGCTACCTTGATTTTTAATGAAAAATATCTTTTTTTTGATTAAAAATTTGAATTAGAATTGTTTCAATTTGCAGCAAATAAGATCTTTTGAATAAACTATTTAAAGTTGATTTATAACCAAATAAGATCTTTTGAATAAACTATTTAAAGTTGATTTATAACCAAATAAGATCTTTTGAATAAACTATTTAAAGTTGATTTATAACCAAATAAGATCTTTTGAATAAACTATTTAAAGTTGATTTATAACCAAATAAGATCTTTTGAATAAACTATTTAAAGTTGATTTATAACCAAATAAGATCTTTTGAATAAACTATTTAAAGTTGATTTATAACCAAATAAGATCTTTTGAATAAACTATTTAAAGTTGATTTATAACCAAATAAGATCTTTTGAATAAACTATTTAAAGTTGATTTATAACCAAATAAGATCTTTTGAATAAACTATTTAAAGTTGATTTATAACCAAATAAGATCTTTTGAATAAACTATTTAAAGTTGATTTATAACCAAATAAGATCTTTTGAATAAACTATTTAAAGTTGATTTATAACCAAATTATTCACAGAGATAAAAATCATAAAAACCAAGATAATTCGATAATAAATAAATTTTTGATATATCCCTCGTTTCTAATGTTTATAATAACTTTCAAACACAAATATTGGAAAGTATGGCAAGTTGAAACTTTTTCCTTATTGAGCGAAACAAACATAATATGAACGTTTTTAAAAAAATTTCGTACAACCTCAAAAAATCAAAGATTTCAATTTTACTTAAATTTTTTAACAACAGAATTTTAAAACGAGCTTTTTTGATCAGATTCGTTGAAAATTTGAAGTTTTTTTTAGAAAACTGATAAAATTAAAGTTATATTTTTTGATTTTACATCGCCCTTAAAAATTGCGTATATTAAAATCTGTCCTTAAGAACATCGAGTACTTGTAACCTTCTAAAATCCAATAATATCCCCAAATATAAAAATTGCGTAAAAATAATTAATTTACGTAAATATAAATTTGAATAAAAATTATACATTATTGTTACATTGTTAATAACTGTAATATTTATGAACATTTCGGCAATAGCCAGGTGATTCTTATTTCATTAATTTTAATAAATAAACTTTCACATTAATAAATAAACTTTCACATTAATAAATAAACTTTCACATTAATAAACTTTCACATTAATTTTAAAAATAAATTTGAGCCAAAAACTACTCAACTTTGTTAATTTTGAGAGCACTTGCAGATTTCAATTTGCGGCTAAATAACTATGGTATTTTATAAACCAAGCATTAAAATTCAATTTTATTAAGTTTTTGTAATGCCATCTTCAGAATTTTTTTTTTTGAAGTATTGTGGACCTGAAATAATGCGTAATTTTAAAATGTTAGCAATTTTTTATGAAGCCTCTATTACAAGCCTCTATTGCAATCAGGTGTCTTGAAGGTGGTATCGCAAAGAATAATTTGCAATCAGTTTTCTTAACAGTTACGCATTTATATGCAACATGCAAATTAACCAAAATAAATTTTCTTCAAACTCTCCAGATGAGTTAATAGTCCATCATCTTTACCTGGACCGGAGTTTGTAGAGTTTAAGCCAGAATTATAGTTTGAATAATTTCTCTGGGAACAGATATTAAGAGTTTATAAGAAGCTGCTCTCTTTGGCTGGTTTGTTTGGACCTTTTAAGGTTTAAATAGGGTTTAACAGCAAACTATACATTTAATAGATAATTCAATAATTAGTTTTTCTCTAGTATTGCGTGAATAATTAACTTTTGGAGTCATGAAATTATATTTGATCAAATCTTGAAAGAAAGCAGATTCAATTGCAGGTTTAGCAGAAGGAGATATGTCAAATTGAAGAAATGCTACGTTTATATTGGAGATCATCTATTTAATACTATTACATGGGGAAGTTTTTTGTTTGATAATACTTGAGCTGTCTTCTCAAGTTTTTTCATTTGCATTCTTAGAACTTTCAGGTGAACTTCCTTGATTAACATTGTCTTTTTGATTCACAAACTTTGTTTTCAACGTTTTTTATTTAAATTTGTGCATTAATATGAGTTTTTTATTTTTTTTCAAAAGATACAACATCTGTTTTTTTTTTTTTTCCTGCCTTAACCTGACTTACTGTTTTACCTTGTCAATTTAGTGCATTTGATAGTCTGACTTTTTCCAAACTTATCTTTGTGAGATTTGAGCCATATTAAATTGTGTCTCTCTTCTCATAAGTTATGTTTCGTTTCGTTTTCATAAATTTTGTTCTCTTTTTTTCCTTTTTTTCTTCTATTTCTATTCTCATGAAAAAATGAATAAAATGTGGACAACAACAAAAATAATTGTTAAGCTTTTTTCATGGACCATAAAATTATGAACAAAATATTGCTGTGTAATAAATGCTACCCTTACGTTTTGTTGTATCCAGCTTATCTTTCTACACTTTTTCAGTTGTTTCTTTTGTTTCTTTCTGATTATCAATGTCTCTAAGTATATTCTAGATATATAAAAGCTGACATCATGTTTTGAGATATGAAATCATTTTTTAAGATATGACATCATTTTTTGAGATATGACTCCAACGTTTTAAATAAAGTTTTGGAATAAGACCATTTTTATAATACTACATGGAGATTTTTCTGCAATCTCTAACAAAAACATAAAAAAAAATTCAAATTTTTTTGTTTAAAATATTTCAAATTTTATCAGTTGGAAATTGAAGATACCCATACGAAGATCGTTTAAAAGAAATAATTTTTCCTGAATAAGTTAAACTTTCCTTAGTACATTTCTCAGTGTAGAAACTTCAGTTTCTTGCCAATCATTTTCTTCTCAAAAATATTTAATCAAATTAGTTAAAGAAGAACTTTTAGTTTGTTTTAACTTCCATAACAAAGTATTTTATTTTGTTTGTTCTTTGATTAAAAGCAAAAACTATTGTAATATTAAACCATAAGAAAAATCTGAAATAAAATTGGAAATTTTTAGATTGCATTGTAGATATTTAAACAATTCTACTATTAATACTAAGCAAATACCAAGTACTAAGAGCTCTATGAGTCTAAGGTTACAAACGAAAATCCTGCGAGAACACTTTGGCGAACGAACGTGCTTTTCTTTTTGAGCGTGAAAAATGGCAAAAAAAAGGTGTTATAATTTGTATATTTATTCAGTAATCAATAATTATTTACAATTTTATTAAAATCGCACAATAAAAACAGTTCGTGGTACGAATTTATCTAAACTGCATATTCTAATTATTGACGGAGAGAGGCTGACAAAAACCCCTCTTTTCTGACAGTATTTGCAATTATAGCTGCGCCAACCAAATTGCATGAATAAATCGTACTATTGAAGTCTAAATTTAAAACAATTGAGTGATAGTGCGTTTACTGTAGTAGTTGTTAAGGAGTTCCAGTTTTTAACTACTCGGTTAGTGAAAAAAGTACGTCTTTCTTCATGTTTCAATGTTTTTTCAGCAGCTAGTTCAAAGGCATGGCTCCGAGTTCTTAAAATGTATTTAGATCCTCGATAGGCTGGTGTAGTTTGTCGTGCCACAAAATTGATTGAATCAATTCTATTAACTATTTTGTACTGCTGTATAAGATCAATACGCATGCGGCGAGTTTCAAGAGTAGTCAGATTAAGCCGTGTTAAACGTTCCTCGTATTTTAGATTACTTATTGACCTGATCCATTTCGTTGTTCGATGCTGAATTTTTTCAATTGTGTTTATATCTCCTATGAAATGAGGAGACCACGCTGGGGCAGCAAAATCTAATAATGGTTGGATATAGGTAGTATATAAAAAACGCCAAAGAGTTAAACCATGACTTCTGAATCCCTTTTTAGATTTCCCTAGCACTCTATTTCCAGCTGCAGCTGCTTGTTCAGCTTGTAATTTCACTTTAAAGTTATTGGAAACTATAACTCCCAAATTGCATTCTTTTGTTGTGATTTCGAGTTGTTTGCGATGACCACTTTGTGATTCCATTGTATATAAATAGTTTGGCTTTTTTTTTTTTT